TAAATGGATGTGATGCACCTGCTAAAGTACCATCCAAGAATTTGTGTTTACACCCATAGGTTAAGTTATTATAACAGCCACTATTTAGATGTTCTTGCTTCTTGCTGTTTGTGTTTTTATAGTAGATGGAATCCCACTGAAATGGACCAACAGCCCATGGAAAACAAATGATGCAGAGACTCAAAAGTTCAGTGCCTTGCCACAGTGGGAAGAAGATCATCCCATACCTACCACCCCCTCCAAGGCTCAGGGACTTTTTCAGAAGAGGTTGATGGAAAGAATGTAAGAACAAGAGGAAGGGGTGGAGTGTTACCTGGAAGTGTCCTTGGACCACTATGCCAGGAAGCTATAGTCACACTTTCTTCCCACACTCATCAAGGAGTCGATGAGGGAGTCATTTACCTTTCCTACCAAATCAGTCAACCTTGGCTGCATGTGGGGGAGTGGCTAAGGATATATAAGCTGAGAATGCCATGAGGCACCTCTCTCACCAATTTATGTGGCAGTTGGGAAGTCACAAGATCTATATTTGAGTGTGGACTTTCCAGCACAGCCACAGTGGAGCACCCACTCTTCTGCAAATAAACCCCCACCCTATGCTCTGTCAGCAAGCCCAATAAATGAGATAGGATTAAAAGGAAAAAAGAACAGAGCTAATGGAAACCTTCATTATTCCACCAAAGTTGACCCCATGTTTGCAAATCTTTTGGTCTTTGATTTCTTATTCCTATTTACCCCCCTTTAACTTCATTGTATATGTATTTTTATGTAACCTGCTTCAAGTTATTCTGGAAAATGTGTTAAAATTGCCTCTCTTTGGAATAATAATGAAAATGAAATAATGCAATTACTCAGAGTGGAGAAATTTTAATCATCACATAGAAAACTATTAAATCTCTACTTACATATGGATGCAAGCTGTGTGTGGAGAACTACATATATACCTGATGTCTTAGGTATTGTATGACTACTATGAGAGAGGAGAAGAAATACTTTGCTCTACATTTTGTAATAGTATTTGAAAATAATTACATGAAAGCTAATAGAAGAATCGGAGAATTAGTATAATTCTCAACTACAAAAAGAAAAATTTCAAAATGAGAAATATGTGAAGCAGTGTTGAAATCTCTGATGTGGGAGACTCAGGCTAGTGGTGATTTTATGACTCCATTTGATTTGCCAATTTGAACATAATTTGAAGAACAAAGTTCTCTTTACAGGTAAATAGGACAAAACACTTACAATTTTTTACTTATTTATTTTTACATATCTTTCATTCTATTATTTTTATTTTTCATGTGTATGAGTATATTGCCTGCATGTATATAAGTGCACCCATCTTGTGCAATGCCCATGGAGGTCAGAAGAGAGTGTTAGATCCCTTGGAACTAGAGTTATATATAGACTTTGTTAGCTGCCATATGGGTGCTGGGAATGGAACCTGGGTCTTTAGAAGAGCAGCCAGTGCTCTTAACCACAGAGCCATCTCTCTATGCCTGAGATTTTACATACTTAAAATGAGAAATTCAACTGATGCTCTTTTCTTATACTTATAGAGTGAATAAAGCATTTGAAAATGTTAAATACAAATTAAGAAAATTTAAATAAAGCCATTAAAATGTGAATGACAAGGAGATGGGAAGCAAATCAGAATTTTCTATTATTCAACAATTAAGTGAAGAAACTTTCATTTTCATCTTAAAGACTAAGTCATATTCCTAAGGTCAAAATTAAATTATATACAGCCCTATGAGGAAAACTAAGTGGTAATATAAAGCACTATAATTGAAGGCAAGGGACTTTATTCCCTAGAGAAATTGTAAAAAATAAATCACAGATTACTTGGAAAAATATACTGTATGGGTTTTTTTCCCTAGAAGTTTCAACATTTTCAGTTACCTTGTGAGCAGCCATTCTTGTTGAAGACAAGTGGACGGTAAGACTGAGGGAGAGGATCTGGCACAGGATCCAAGGAATTAGGGGATCCCATCATGATGGATGGAGCCAGTTCACTTAAAATCATGCAAGAAATATTACACTATTTCAGATTCCTCCAGATGGTCAGATTAGTTCATGTTTATTCATCATTCATCCCTTTATGTTCTTTATAAAACTAGAATGATCTTTCTTCAAAATAGACTGTCTTCTGAAGAAACTATGAAGGTATTAAATGAAAGTTATGTGTTGCTTATGGCTTTATGAAATATCACAATTTCAATCACCGAACACCTTGCAGTAGATCAGGTCCACTTGCTCATTTTTCATTCCAAAGGGGCTGTGGGATTCTGCTGTTCATAAAATTATCTTGCTTTATTAAAATCATATAAGAAGTAAGCTTATGGTTTCCCAATCAGGAACCAACACTCCAGTGAGGAAAACAGAATATTTTATAAAATATTAGCTGATAATATTGGTGCTTATTACAAAATTATCAAAATTTAAATGATGATCAGGTTAAAGGTGACAGGTAATGCTTGTACTTTGATGAGCATTTAATTTTTATTGAACTTTAGTAATTTCATACAGTTCTAAATCAAATTTAGAACCCCTCCCCATCCATGCTCACTTCATCCCCCCACTAGACCTCATTTTAAGTCCTATCCAGTCAAGCATTTGTAACCAGATGTCCTTCAGTGCAAATTCATCCATTGGAGTCTAGTCAGCCCATCTAGAGATCGTAAGGCACACTCTCCCTCACCCAGTAGCAATAAGTCTCTGATAAGTTAAGAAGTCCTGTGAAGTTGATAAAATAAAAAGAAAATCTCAGAGACATATAACTTAGCTTGTGACACAAGACTTGGTGGTAGAGTAGGCACAAAACCAGGATTGTTTGACACCAAGTTTCCCTAGATTTGTTATTTTTGTAGAACATAGAGACCACATAGTTCTCTGCATTTGCTGTATGAACAGTTTACTACTACACAATAAAGAAACATAGAGAAATGTGTATAGTGAGTGTGCATGTGTGTTTGGTTGTGTGCATTTGGATATGTATGAATGTGTAGGTGTTCATGTGTGTATATGAGTATATACACTGTATCTGGAAAGAGACATGATTTGCAGAAAAACAGAGAGTAGAAATTCAAAGAGTCTGTAATGGAAACCAGACTTCAATTAGATTCTTGCAAAAATTTCCACAGCACTTTGTAACCAATGTTAGTTAAATGAAAATCAGATTTGCAGAAATACTGAGTCACTTCAAATAATGTCTGTTTCTTAGGAGAGGAATAATACAGCTGATTCTACTTTGGGAAATATGAGAAAAATCATCTATTGCTCAGACAGAAGTGCATTAATTTTATTCCCTATCTCAGTCGCTTGCCAGAAGTACCTGGGAGCCTCCTAGAAGTCATGAGCAATCCTCTCTAGGCATGATTTGAAGTTTCTATTTGTAGGCACAAATTGCTGAGTAATTTTGAACTTTTGGCAAGAATAGTCATTGAACGCTATTTTTGCACATACTGAAGTGGATTTTTACTTGTTGTTACATAAACTTCCGAGGTGGAGGATGATTTCACATAGTGTAGCACATCGAGGGGAAGTGCTCAGGTTCAACGATCCCAACAAACCCCGTGGTTTTCTTCCTTCATTTGCTTTCTTTACTGGTTTTCATTTTCCTTTCATTGCTCCTGATCGTCAGCATCTATGTAGTGTCCACCTTATTTTTATGTTGATATTTCTGTTTACTCTTTCAGTATTCTATTGATTCGAAATGCCTTTACTCAACATTTTGTCTTCCCTTTTCTCTTTCTAACAGACTCAAATTCCCCATTCTTCATAATAGTTTTATAGCAGTTATTTATCATATAATTGCTCAAAAGATGGAGAAGGGACTGGAGAGATTGCTCTGCGGTAAAGAGCACATACAGCTCCTCCAGGGGACCCAAGTTTAATTTACAGAATTCACATTGGCAGCTCACAACCTTCTGTAACTCTGAATCCAAGGGGATCTGAAGGCCCTGGCCACCATGGGCCCCTGCACTCACATTCACATAGCCCACACACAGGCACACATATATACACATAATTTCCAACTCCCACTCCTCCTCCTCTTCAACTTCTCCTCCTTCAAAAGTGGAGATCTAATTCAGGGTCTTATATATGCTATGGAAAGTGCTCTAGTTAAATTTATCTTCATTAGTGTCCCATAATTGACTTTCACATGTATTGATCTGGGGAGCCTGGATAGAGTTCAGAAAGACTTTCTTAAATGATTTCTGGTAATAGAATTAGTTGCTATGAGATATATACTTTATTTGACATTACAATAAAGATAATTGAGAATTTGTGGGGTTAGATTTGAGAAAATTTTGTCAATAGCATATAACACAACATAAATATGCCGTTTTATGAATGTTCAATTTGGAAAGTACAAAACATGGAGAAAGTAGTTCACTATATAGGTTGAATCTTGTCTCTTTCTAAACTGTAGATTTTGCATATTATTTTGGAGAACTAAGAACAAATTCTGTAATTGTGAAACTGTTTTTAAATCAAAGTGAAAAAGGTGTCATTAAGTGACAGTCAGAGAGCCTGACTAGACTTGATCATTTCAACTGCCCCTACTGCTGTTTCTCAGGCAGGTTCTATTGGGTCCTAAATGAATCTACTGGTTTTTATTTTTGAGAATTTTATGCATATGTAATGTATTTACATCATTTCCAAACCTCCCAGTCCTCTCTCCATCTCCTCCCATGGGCCCCTCCCTCCTTTTTAATTTCTTGTCCTCTTTTTGTTATTGTTACACACACACACATGTGTGTGGGTGCATACACACACAAACTGAGAGAAAGAGAGAGAGAGAGAGAGAGAGAGAGAGAGAGAGAGAGATCAAACTAAAACATAAGCCTTAAAATTCTTGAGACCTAAAAGAAACCATTTTTCAACGTTTACCTAACACTGTGGGACTACCTAGCTGGAAAGGAATTACTGGAAATTTCCGTGACACAATGCCACCCTTCCCATTTCTTACATGCTCTGTCTCCCCAGTGAACATATTCATTATGCAATGGAATAACTGGACCCTCAACTCCGACTTCATCCTGCTGGGGATTTTTGATCACAGTCCTGTTCACACCTTCCTCTTTTCTCTTGTCCTGAGTATATTCCTGGTGGCCCTGATGGGGAACTCTGTCATAGTTCTCCTCATCTACCTGGATGCTCAGCTCCACACCCCCATGTACATCCTCCTCAGCCAACTTTCCCTGATGGACCTCATGCTCATCTGCACTACTGTACCCCAGATGGCCTTCAACTTCCTCTCTGGCAATAAATCCATCTCCATGGCTGGCTGTGGAAGCCAGATATTCTTCTATGTGACTCTACTTGGAGCAGAGTGTTTTCTGTTGGCTTTAATGGCCTATGACCGCTATGTGGCCATTTGTCACCCACTAAGGTATCCAGTTCTCATGAGTCCCAAAATCTGTGGTCTCATGGCTGCTTCTTCCTGGATTCTCGGCTCACTCGATGGCATAATCGAGGTTGCAGCTGCGTTGTCTTTCTCATACTGTGGATCCCGAGAAATACCTCACTTTTTCTGTGACGTTCCTGCCCTGCTCACTCTCTCATGTAGCGATACATCGATGTTTGAAAAGATGATATTTTTCTGCTGTGTAATTATGCTTCTCTTCCCTGTAGCAATCATCATTGCTTCTTACACTCGTGTAATTCTGGCTGTCGTTCAAATGGGATCTTCTGAGAGCCGCCACAAAGCTTTTGCCACTTGTTCCTCTCACCTCATGGTGGTGGGAATGTACTATGGAGCAGCCATGTTCATATACATGCGGCCTTCTTCTGGTCGTTCCCCCAAACAGGACAAGATTGTGTCAGCCTTCTATACCATCCTCACTCCCATGCTGAACCCCCTCATTTACAGCCTCCGAAATAGAGAGGTAGCCAGAGCATTCATGAAAGTGTTGGGCATAGACAAGGCTACAGAATGAGTCAGTTAATCATCTTTGTGCTCTGCTTTTAGCCATGCTTTATGCAGCTGGACTTAAGGACTCAGGCTGGAGAGCTGCGATGAGTTCGAGTCCAGTTTGAGGAACATAGTGAGTTCAAGAGCAGCCTGGGCAACATAACAAGATCCTGTCTCCAAAAGCAAACTTCATATGCAAATTGACATGAAGAAGCAATGCATTCCAGCAGCTAAGGTTTTCTCACCACTGTAGGTTTATAGTAACCACACAAAATTATGAATGTGAAAAAGTTTGCATTCTTATTTGTTCAAGTATTTCATTCATTTTGTGACTAGTGCAATGTATTATGAAAAGTGATATTTGTTGCACTAGAGAGCACAAAACTGTGTACTTTGTCTCACTGATATAATTTAATATACACAAAATATTTGCCCATCACAGTGCCTCAGTGTTCTACTATGAGTATACAGAAACTTATGTCTTTCACATATGGAATATTTAATTTTGTCAAGGAGTTTCTTATATCAAGTCCATCATCTTTGAACATATAATTTTGATAAAATGAAGCCATGAATTATCTACTATTTCTTACATATGTTATATCTAATTATAAAAATAAATGCAAGTGAGACCTGCTCAGCCAGGACTCTGGAGCTGCTTGGAAGGGAACACAGTGTCAGATAGAAGAGACCTCCCTTAGAGCGACAAACATGCTGTACAGCAGTTCTTTTTGCAACAGATGGAGGCTACTGCAGAATTGCACATCGGGTCAGCCATAGAGAACATACACCTGGGAGATACTCAGTGTTAGGTGACACATCTATAGTCAAATTCCTACAACCAAGACTAATGGAACATAGTGGAATAGGAGTTAGAGAGGGAGCTAATGCGCCCCTCAACTCTCACCAGCAAGGCTTCCATGTACATCAGAGTGCTTTACACACAGGCCTCAACTGGCCATGCTCTGAAGAAAAAGAGACTGTAGAGTGTAGGATGGGACTCCTATATGGAATCTCACCCACCCATGGCTCAGAGACCATTGTGGAAGAGGAGGCAGAAAGATTGTAAGAGCCAGGGCTGCTGGTTCATGAACGCATGAGGTAGAGGCTTCCAGGCCAATGGAGGCTTACTCATGTGCACCTGTGGCAGCAGTGGCATGAAATGAGGGACCCAAGTCAGCTCAACTAAACAAAGGCCCAAAGGGGATATGAGCAATAGGTGGCAGGTCAGCACTAGATCGAGAACTATTTGAGTCTGGGTGCTGCTGGGTGAGAGAGAGTATGACCTACATACGACAACTGGATGGGCTGAATAGACACCAGTGGACACATTTACACTGAAGGACACTTGGGTACAAACACCTGAATGAATAGGACTCAGAATGTATGGCAGAGTGCATAGGGTTTGGGGGGAGCTTGGATGGGGGAGGGAGTCTGGATGTGAGTGGGAAATGCATAAAATTTTAAAAGCTCAATTTAAAAATTTAATAAAAAATAAATGCAAGTAAGGGCCAGGTGGACAAAAGACACGCACCTGACTGAGCTTAGGCATTCCATGTCTATTTACAATCAACACTGTCCTGTGGAAGACTGGAAGAATGCAGATTTTCCATTTATGTCCTTCATGTACAGGCATTAATATTGTACACAAAAGTGAAATTTAATAAGACTCCTCTAAACATAAATTTTATAAAAGGTATTCTCAATGTTAATCATAATATACTCTACTCACAACATATTAATATTTTTTCTTAATTCCTTAATAATGGTATGTTCAATTTTAATATAGAAATCTGTTTTCTAAATTTGGTACATTTTCTTAAATTTCACATACAGCATATCTATATGTATCATGTCACTGGTATTATTATGAAAGTAAATGCAATTAATATCATTCTCTGAAAAAACACTGCTGTAACCTAATATGGATGCTAACTGCTCCATTAAAAGTCCCTTGTTGCACTCCCATTGAGTTTTTTACTTCTTCATTCATATTGTCACACTTAAATGGGTTGGAACTGTTGGTGCTGTCCAGCTGAGCCTGATGAGGTTGAAATCTAGTCATTTGCAGAGGCTGCAGCTGCATGTAAAGCTCAGGGTTCTCTATGCTCAAGTTATTCTTGAAATAATTAATTTTTTGGAAGGAAATGACTCTTGGGAACTCTTTCTTCAAGTCCAGCAGGATAGTTACCTTGACTTCACAGACTGCTTCAGTCCTCATTTAAAGTCTTCGACCAGTTAGATCCAGCCCATATTAGACATATGTATTTAGATCATGTGAGGTTAACCAAGTTTAAAATTAATTTCTTTTGAAAGTTCACTTAATACTATCATGTATGAAACTTCATCATGGAAGTAACACTGGGGAGTATAGATCATGGGTAAAAGTTTAGTGTCCTTCCTTCCAGATACAAGGAGGTAATTTGTATACAAAAATCCCCCAAATATATAAAAATACAATTGCTGAAAACATTTATTGGCACAGATGTGGTACAACATTGATGATGTCTAAATGATTTCTTATATCAAATCATTTAAAAATCCTTTAAACTCTTCAACACTTTAATAGATTAACATAAATTTGGAGGTTAATTATACATCTCTAATTTATCCAAATATCTTATGTCCCCTTTAAAAATTTGATTCAGACCCTGTTCTCCTTCTAGCCTTGGGCACAGGCCTGTTTCTGCCCTTAGCACCCCAGATCTCTGGAGTACGCTCTTAGCCCAGACCCACCCACTGTGTCCTGACCCTCTGCAGCCAGACCAGTTAAATTCATCAGTGTAGTTTCTTAGAGCCTCCATAGACTCTCCCGACCCCCAACCTGCCTTGCACACCTGAGACCATCCTTCTATCCTAGCTGTCTGCAACCTCAACTTGCTTTAAATTCCTTAAACCAGCCTTCTTCCCTGGTAACTCCAGTCCCACCCACGGCACCTTGACTCCCCTACAAAAGCAACTCCAGTCTCCTGGAGCCCACATCCTGTTCTCCTTCTAGCCTTGGGCACAGACCCACTTTTGCTCTTAGCACCCCAGATCTCTGGACTATCCTCCAAATTGTGTCTTTTCCATCCCCCTACATTGGGACCACCTACAGCCCTTCCCACTGCTACAGTGTTAGGCTTCTCTGCCCTTTAGTAGGGGTTCGGACCTTTGCAGACAGTCTGAGATTGCCTGAATCCAACCTCCACCTAGAAGGCTTCCCAAATTGTACTTTGCCTGCTGACTAGAGGGGCCCAGACCTTAGGAGGGAGCCTGAGAGCATCTGATCCTCATCCAACTTGGGCTTCTGCTGGAAATCCTGAGTAGATGGACTAGAGCCATCCGGCCCCTACAATATAAAATCAAAATAGAGAACCTGAAGCCTAGACCAACCAGCTTTTCATACCCAATAAGAAAACAACAAAGGCATATCAAGTATACAAACAGAAACAGACTTAAACTCAACAAAGGAAGGCTTGAGTAGCATACCAGAATCAGAAACAAACAAATAACAAAAAAAAAAGAAATACACATGCCAAAGTCACAATGAAAAAATATTAACACGAAAAACCCAAATAATATGTCCCCACCAAGCACCAACAACCCTATACAAGAGTTCTACAACTAGACCCCCCCCCAGAGATAACCCAGGACACAAAACTCAAAAGAGCAATTATAAACATGATGAAAGAATTCAATGAAGTTAAGAAAACAAACAAATCAAAGGACTAAAACAAGATAGGGATTAACTTCTGACTGAATTCAAGAAAGAGAAATAGTGAAGAAAACTCGGGCTGAAATGAAGAAGTAAAACACTCAATAAGCCAATTAGATGACAGGAGAAAGCCTCACCAATAAAATAAATGAAATGGAAACAAAAATATCAAGATTGAACAACAAAGATAACAAATTGGACCATTTAAGCAGAGGTTATGAAAAATTTAAGAAAACACAGCCATTGAATATGCAGGAAATGTGGGGCACCATGAAGCGACCAAATTTACACATCATAGTCATAGAGGAAGGAGAAGAAGCCAGGTTAACGGTATGGAGCACATCTTCAACAGGATTGTAGAAGAAAATTTCCCCAAATTGAAGAAAGACACGCCCATACAAATACAAGAAGCACATAGAACACTGTAACAGACAGGAAAAGAAAAGAAACTCCCCATGACATATAATAGTGAAAACAAAGACAGAATAATGAAAGCTGCAAAAGAAAAACAAGTCATATATAAAGGAAAATCCATCAGATTTACAACTAACTTTTCAGTACAAACTGTGAAAGCCAGAAGAGCCTGGACCAAAGTATTCCCAGTTCTAACTGACCACAGATGCCAACACAAGATACTTTATTCAGCAAAGATGTCTATTATAGTTGAAGGGGAAAGAAAACTCTTCCACCACATAAATAGGCTAAAAGAATTCACGTCCACAAAACCAGACCTTCAGAGAATTCCTGAAGCAATACAAAGAGCTGAAGAAAGGAATGAGTCTACCCAAGGGGTAACAGAAAGAAACTGAATAAAAGTATAACTGTGGAAACACAGACAGAATTTAAAATGACAGGAATCAATACACATCTTTTAATAATAACTTTAAATATCAATGAACTGAACTCTCCCGTCAGAATGCACAGACTAGTTGAATAGATTAATAAACAAAATCTATCTTTTTGTTGTCTACAAGAAACCCATCTTACCTTCAAGGACAGAAACTACCTTGAGGTGAGAGGATGAAAAAAAAATACTCCAAAGAAATGGTACTCAGAAAAAACAGAAGCTGCAATTCTAATATCTGACAAAAATAGACTTCAAACTAAAATCAGAAGAGATAAAGAGAGCCACTTCATTCTTATCAAAGGAACAATTGAACAAGATGATATTACAGTCCTGAACATAGATGCACCAAATTATATGCACCCAACTTCAGAGAAACAACAGTACAGGACTTTAAGACATATTAATCCCAACGTACTAAGAGTAGAAGACTTTGAAACCCCACTGTCTCCTCTGGACAGGTCAATGGGACAAAGACTAAGCA